TTAAAATATCTCACTGATTTTTTACTACTATTTGTGGTAGATACATTTTAAGTAACCCACTATTGTCTTCGAACTCAAATCTTATCATAACAACAATAGCTCAACGTGACCTTGAGGTGCAGTCTACTATTATTAGATAGAACTTACTAACTTTCGATTTTGATCAATATACTTTTAATTTTTTAGAAATATACTGCAACTCATTTTGAATGTACTTATTCAAATTATGTATTCTTGTTTGCTTTTGAAGAATGGTCAGCAAATCAAACTTTGCCAGTGATTAAAATATATATTTTTTAAACTGCCATTGTTTCTAAGATAAATTTTGCCAATTACACATCGCATTGTAATTGATTGTTAAATTAAATAAATTTTAATATGGCAATTATTTTTTTAGAATTTTGATATATTTTCTTTATTTATTGCGCATTGTTAAGCATTGTCTATGATGTTTAATGGTTTTAAACATTTCAAAAATTAACAGCTAAAATGTTTTAGCTGTTAATTTTTGTACTGTAGTTATACAATTACTGAATATTGAAATTGGAAATTAACCAGAAACTCGAAACAATTTCCTTTTATGGCTTTTGTTGATTGTTAACAAAAAATGGACTACCATTGCTGTTTACCAGAAAGTCAAAATTTTTTATTTACACTGGACTTTTTTAAAACTAAATTTTATCCTAAGTTATCCATGATATTATTCGATTCAGGGGTATCAAGTAAAATTATACACGCCGGGTATTTACTCTATTGTTAATTTTTAGGCTCGTTTAATGTTTATAAAACTAACTTTGGGGATGTTTAATATTTCACAAATGCTGTCTTGATTTTTATTTAAACTTTAGTAGGACACAAGTCTGAAAAAATGGAATTCTGAATTTCTTCTAACTTCAATTTTAACTATTTATATATTTATCAGATTTAGATGTTTAAAATATATTTATTTATTTATTTATTTATTTATTTATTTCGTCAGTAAAAAAAGAATTCGATACCGTGTTATAAAAAATAAAATCTACATGACTGGGGCTAAAAAAAGACATTGTTTGCCTTATCGTTACGCCCTGATTCCACACTCATATCATCTGTTACATGAACACCGCTTGCATCATCTTTTTTTGTTGTTTGTTTATCTGTTTGGTAAGCAGATTGGTTTAGGTTTGATGGGCACGTTTGTTAATGTTTTGAATATTTTTATTTATTAGCATCCGATAATACTATATAATCAGTAAAACTGAATTTTAACTCAATATTGCCAAGTAGTCTGTTATGCAGTTGCAACTAATTTGAAGTTGAAAAAGTAACTTATAAACTTCCGACCTTTCAAACATTCAAAATTCATAAGTTAAATTAACAAACAGTTGACATTCAACAGTTAAACTAAATTGAAAAGTATATTTATTTTTAAAATATATTTTTTTAGAAGTCGCCGGTATTTTTCAATAACATTTTATAAATAAATAAGCCGCCGTTTTTAAATAAACACCGACTAGTAAGCACTGGTTTTTAATAATTGCCACACCTATATCACACTTTTATTGTTAAAATTATAATTGCAAAAAGGATATTTTTGTCATAAAAAAAATCATTATTCTACAATTGATCAATTCAAAAAAGAACTAAAGAAGAAACAGAGGAGTTGTTTAAAATAACAACAAAAATAACAAATAAAAAAATGTAAAATATCTGAAAGACACTTTTATTGTTCAGACACTTGGAGAAATTGCTCCATTACTCCAGACAACCACATATTTTATTTAAAAACATAACAGCGAGTTGTTTGTATTAAAAAGTTACTTGCTTACTTTTGCTTGCTTGATAGTAATCAGATTTTTTTAGAGTCAATTAAAAAATTAGTGTTATAATAAACACTAAGTAAAGTAATAGTTCAGACTAGGCTGTGGCCTGGGGCCCACGATGAACAGGGGCTGCCAAAAAATAAATGTTTTTGAGTAATAAAATTTTACTGTTAATTTAAATAACTTTAGGAAAAGTTTTGTTGTCTATTAATCTATAACGAAAATAATTTTTCTAATTGTTCTACTTCATTATCGTTTTATTTATACTTGAAGTATTCTCGACAACTTTGAATTTTTGAATTTTTTCTTACTTCACAGCAAAATAAAATTCGTCATACATTTTAACATGAAAAATTTTTTTTTTTACAAATTTCTAAAAAAAGTGGCACCCAAAAGTTTTAATGCCTAGAGCATTATTTTACCTTATTGCGGCACTGAATAAACACAAAAGTTCTTGGTATATAAAAAATGTTTATTAAATTATAAAAAATCTCAAAGTAAAGTCTTGCTATTTTTGGACCATTTGTTTTGAAACCTGTTAGCACATTATTTTACATAGTTATGTCATTAACTATGTACTCAACAGAAATAACGACAAATTTAAATACTCAAAAGAGTTTATGTGACATTCAGCATTATCAAAAAGATTTATTAATTTTTAACTAAATTTAGTCAAATTTAGATTTTTGTGTAAATGTTTTAAGGCCAAATCATAACAACTCCAAGGTTCTATGGCATACTGACACTTTTGATTGGTACTCAAACTTTTGATTGGTACTGACACTTTTGATTGGTACTGACACTTTTGATGTTGTGATTGAGTTAGTATTTTAACTATTTTTTTTTTCTGCAATTACATTATAAACTATCTGTTACTTATGTTTTATAACTTTATTTACATCAATAACTCTATAATTTTTAAAATTCTTTGCTTATTAATATTGATTGTTAATTTTACTGCTAAACCTTTGCATCGAAACATCCAGATAAAATCTTATGAATCTCACGCGACAAAAAAAATATTGTTATTATTATTTTTGTTTATTTTAAAAATATTTTGCCTGCCAACATTTGGTCAATAAATGATGTCAATGCCAAGATTTTTAAGTCATTTCAATATTTATTTTATTTTATTTTATTTATTTTAAGATTAAAACAATTTGTTTAAAAAGACATCAATTTCATTTTCCACGTTGAACAAAATTTGTTTGATTCTGCAGCTAAGAAAAAGAAGAGAATATGAAGTTTTTAGTTTTATTTACCGTGCTTGCTTGTAAGTTTCTAATAATTAATTTGCAAGAAATGTTGCTTTTAATAGTAAATTAGGTGTTATAATGAAGACTTAATATTTGATTAACGGGGAGATGCAGTTTTGAAATTGTAAATAAAGTTTTCAATATATTTTATACTTTTAATATTTAAAAGTATATATACTGTAAAATTGCCGAGGTTCGGTCACCGTATTACTATGGTTTTTTAGGCGTAAATGGCAAAAGGGCACGCACAATTCAAATTTTACAACCTTTAATTTTCAAATAATGTCTGTAGTTTGTATGTGACTTTGTGTAAAAAGGTAAAAAAAAAAGTAAAAAGACAACAGCAATGACGTCAAAATATTTTCTTTCATCGATAAGAGTAACAGGAACCACACTAAAAAGAATCGAAAACCAAATTTGTTGAGCGACAACATTAAACACATTTTAGTTAAAATTTTAACCCTTGTATGTTTAAGTTATCAACTAAGTAAGTAAGGCAAGTGTTGGTGTAAGTGTTGGTTTTATTTTCGGCGAAGGTACATTTCCCTGGTATTATTTATTCATCGGACACCATTCCAATAAGATATCGCCCAAGACTTTAAATAATAGGCTATCAAACCGTGAAATGTTAATTCAGCTAAGCACTATTGATCAATGCTGTTTGACCATTAAGTATTGTGACTGAGACCATTTTATTGTTATCTAAAGAAATTTTGTATTAGCAACAAAAATGCTTCAGTCTGCTGTAATATGTTTGGAACATTCTTGCCAGCTCATGTTTTTTTCCAAAGGTAATAATAGCTATGATTATTCTGAGTATTTATTTTATACAACAGAATTTAAAATTGTGCACAGAATCCGTAAAACTTCGGTTTTTATAAAGTTTTTATTGATTAAACTTTTAGATGTCCAATTTTAGATTAATGTTCTTTTCTGGAAGGTTTGAAAAGACAATCGTCCCTATTACCACAAGTTCGAAGGCTTCAAAGTCATTTTTTTAGACGTTTACGTCTTATATGTAACGCTAGAACTAATACTCTTAGGACAAGAAAAGAATATTTTTAGTTGCTGCGAAAGTTAGAAAACGTAATCAAAATTTAGACTACATTTAAACGAAAAACGACTTCCACATATCTGTCAATCAAATAGTTCTTTGAGTTCTTAAAAATATCTTGTGACATTTTTTTAGAAATTTACAGCTCAACATTAATAATGGATGTCTTGCTTACTTTAGTCAGCGATATGTGAAAGAAATATAAATTAACATAAAGGAGTTTTTTAAAGAAAAGTTGCATTTTTTTGTTAAACGAAATGACTTACTGTTTTTAAATAAATTAACCAGTATTGTTTTATGGTTTTACAATAAAATAACATTTAAAAATTAGTTTTGATAGTTAGTGTTTTGTGGTAATGTGATGTGTTTTTACGAACTTATGAGATTGTATTAAATCAAAACTTAAATCAAAGTAGATGTTCTCATTTAAAATGAAATATTAAAAAATTATCATATATACATATGTATATATCTGTGGCTATTTATGTTAAGTGCATAAATGACATTTTGAAATAGAAGAGTTTGAAAATTTAATTTGTTGTCATAAATCTAATATATACAATATAATTATAATATAACTATACGTAAATAAATTGTGGTCTATGGTTATACAACTTTAAAATTTTTTATTTTTTCAGCGATTTTACTTTTTGTCCATACCATAGAAGAGCATTCACACGATGAAGATCACCCTATGGGCAAACATGAAAGTTTCGAACAACACGATGGTCATAAAGAAACTGAAAAAAGTCATGATGATCACGGACACAAACACGACCATGACGATCATGCAAAGATTTAAACATTATTTGTACTTTTATTAATCAAGTTCAATTATACCTTTTGTATAATTTAAAATCAATAATATGTAAAATTACTGTTTGAGTACGCATGCTTACTAAATGATTAGAAAGAAAAAAAATACAACAATAACAACATAAATTAAAAAATACAACGTTAACGATAGTAATACCCACAGAAATAACAACAGCAAAAACAACAACTACATTTTTGTTAAATTAAAGAGTCAAGGAACAATAACAAACAGACTAGTGGTGGCATACCAGCATATATATATATATATATATATATATATATATATATATATATATATATATATATATATATATATATATATATATATATATATATATATATATATATATATATATATATATATATATATATGTATATATATATATATATATATATGAATATATATATATATATATATTGATTACTACATGGCTAAACTAAGTAATGCAATCCCCAAGGTTTTTCTCAGTCCCGGGACTGAAAAAGCAGCCGTAAATCAGCCGTGGAGAAATGGTAGCACACTTGCCTCAGAAACGTAAGATCCATGCTTCAAACTCTACCTCTGGATAAGTTTTTTGACATAGGTCGGAAAGGAGGCGTGAACTTTCTATTAAATGCTCTTCCCCATTGATCAGTGATAAGATTGTAAGGACTTCTTGGGGCACCTAAACAAACAAAAAAAAAAAAAAAACATTAAATCCGGGATTTTGGATTTGATCTCGGGATTAAAAAATAGTATAGCATCTACATTAAGTCACTGCATAAACACACTTTTTTTTCTCAACTTTTTTTTTGCTCACTTTAAAATTAATGTGACACATAAATATAGACATGAATCCAAAAAAATTAGACAATTTGGAGTTCATTTTGAGATGCCACTTTAAAGTTTTTATATATTTGTGTTTTTTCTCAAATATTAAGAATAATTAAGTTAATTAAGACTTATGTTAATTTTCTAAAATACTTAGTTATGAAGCAATTTTCAAAAGCCAAAGGTTCGCAGAAATGTCTTTAAAATTGGCGGTTTTTAAATTTAGTATAGGCCAGGGTTGTAAAAAAAGGGTGTATGACGCACACCCTTCCCTAAACAATTAATTTTATTAGAACCAGTCAGCGAAAATGTACCTTAGTTTGCAAATGTGAGAGAGCGATGCCTTTTTTTTAGGAAAAACAAACTCACATATTTAATAACTGTTCTCGCTAGCTCTGGTTGCGCATGAATATAATATTTTTTATTTATTATAATATTGCAGAAATATTTTCTACGAGAAGAGAAAGGACAAACAGCAATGTGTAAATTGCCAAACTGTAAGAAGATTTCAAAAATCTGTGGTGGTTCAACAAAAGGGCTTCATATAAACATGTTATCGGTGCATAATGTGAAGGTCAAAAGTCCAACCCAACCTAGTATTACCGGAGAAAGCACATCAGATAAACTGCCAAAAAAGATATCTAAACCACTAACAGAATACTTTTTCGATTTTTAAAAAGAAAGAAAAGCACTTCACGCTACACTTGCTCGTCTAAGGGCGTCTGAAGGGTTTTCTTTTAAAGTGATTTGTTCTTCAATAGATTTACGTGCCGCTCTAACTGCTATGCGGTTCAAAAATCTACCAACGTCAGAAAACACAGTCATGTAGTAGGTTACAGCAAAAAATTAATATTAAATTTAGTAAAGGAAATTAAAGCGCTCAAGAGTACAGAATTTGGGGTAGAAGAGAAGTTTTCTTTGTTTTTTGACGAATGGACGTCACTTCGAAATCGTTGCTTTAGGAATATTAACGTTCATGGAAAAAATTCTCAGTTGTGGAGTTTAGATTTAGTGCGAATAACAGGGTCAATGCCAGCAAAAAAGTACATTGAACTATTTGAAAAAAATTTAAAGACCATTGTCTTGATCTACACGGCGACATTGTGGTTGTAAAGACCGACGGAGCTAGTATTATGAAAACAGCAGCAACCTTCCAACTTTGAAAAGTTGGAAGGTTGCTGGCTGCATATCAACAACTATGTTTTGCCCACGGCATACAACTTGTTGTAATTGATGTTCTTTATAAAAAAAGAGAATTCAATGCAAATCAGCTAGAATTTGAAAATGAATTTTTTGACAGTGATTTGTCCGAAAATGAGGATATTGAGGAAGGTTTACTGGGCTACAATCATGAAACTTTAAGATCTAAAATTGAAGGTCTAAATGAAGTTCATTAAGGACCAGTCATTAAAAAAGTACGCAAGTTGATAATAATATTTAGACGATCACCTACCAAAAACGACATCTTACAAAAATATATTATAGCTGAATTTGGAAAACAACTGTCTTTAATTATGGATTGCAAAACAAGGTGGAGCAGCCTTCTGTTAATGCTCAAACGATTTTATATAGTAAATAATTGTATACAAAATCATTAATTGATATTTACACAGTGCAAGATAATTCTATAGCTCTGTCGCGTGATGACTTGACAATATTATCAGACATTATTACAACTTTAGTTCCTATTAAAGCAACGGTTGTAGCACTTTGTCGCCAAGATTCTAACCTATTAACAGCTGACATTGCTATTAATTTTATGCTTAGAAAATTAAAAGATGCTGACAATAACACAAGCAAGAAAATGCGTTCAGCTTTAATGGCTCGTACACATGAACACCAAACTGATATGAGTGGACTTCTGCAATACCTGCATAACGGTCGAAGCTCGGTTGAAGTCGATGAAGAAATAATTACAGTGCCTTCTTCATTTAAATGTCAAAAACTGTCGGTATAATTTACTGGAAAGATTAAACGCTTCCAATTCTGCTTTAGTAAGAGTATTTTATTGAAGAACCTGAAACTGAAAATAACACTTTAAGTATCGAAGAGGAGCTTGATCGTCTAATTAAAGAAGCGCAATCACCGATGCAACCAGTTAGACATGAAACATTGTTATCAAAAATTCAAAAAGAAATAAAATTATAAGAAAATGGTGGTACACGTGGTGATTATTTAGAAAGAGTTTATTCATTTCTAATGACGGTGAAAGCGACAAGTGTCGAGGCTGAACGAGCAATTTCTTCCGCTGTTTAATAATAAAATTCGTAACAGGTTAGGCGATGAAACATTGGACGCGTGGTGCTTCCTGAAGCACCACGCGTCTTTTTTTAATGAAATTTCTTAACATTAACAAACATGTTTTTCTTCTATGCATGTAGCGATGTAAGGCAAACAGCATCATTTATAAAATATATTTTTGTTTAAGAGTGTACTGTTTTTATTCTACTTAATACTATAAAAATGCTATATCTGTTTTTCAATTCCGGCATCCCGGGATTGATGTTTGTCAATCCCGGAATCTCTAGATTGAGAAAGATCTCCGGGATCGCAAACACAAGCTTTAATGGTTTTTGTTTAAAAACTTATTTTCTTTTAAATAAAGTTTTTGTTAATAAAAATTTCTAACACTCCTTAAATTAACTTTTCTATAGTTTTTTTAGTTGTCAAAGTCTTAGAAAAATAATTTTTGATTTCAATATCTGTAACATACAAGTTTTTAATATTAACCTGAAGAAAGTATACAATAAATATATGTAACCTTTTTGCATTTCTCTTGTTTTTGGTTCTGTTTTAGTTTTTAGCTACAAAAAAAATCTTCTCACTCGTCCATAAAAATATTTACAATCATCAAATATGAAGTTTACAGTTCTTTCTACCAATTAAGAATTGTTTGACAGATCAGTAGAAGAGAGTTTTCTGAGAATTGTTTGACTGCTCAGTAGGAGAGAGTTTAAATAGCTTGTTGTATCACATTTAAAGAAACAAAAAAAGACTATTTATCAAAAAAACCTCAATTAAGTTGGTCCAAACATCAGCTTTGAACTTCCTTAGCTTTAATTTTAAGCTTAAAACTTGATTCATTTTTCCTGGATAGTAATTTGCAGGATTTGATTAAAAGCGCGATCAACTTTCAACTTTGTCATCTAGTAGCATAAAAAAAGTTTTCTTGACAGTAAAAGCTACTCTGAAGATTTATCTATACATTATTTTAAAATCTGTTATCTTGTTTGTTGATAAACTCTAGTTTTATAAAAAAACTTTTTTGAAAAATAGTTTTTAGGTTCATTGTTTTTTCTATCTTTTCAGATATAACATGGAGAATCGGTAGCTCAGACTGAAGTAAATAACCTATCCTAATTTTACAAACAAATCGTCGTCCACATCAGCGCCAGAACAGGTATTGACTGGAACTAATTCTAATATAAGACTTATAGAGCAATTGCTGAAAAGAACATGTTATGACCAGAAAAAGGATTATTTTCACAAGTAAAAGTGAGATGATGTTTACATCTAGTGGTTTGACAAAAGACATAAGGCAATATCCCTATTAGTCTTGTATTTTATTCTCTTGTATTTTCAAAAATTTCATTAGTTCATTTCATAAACTAATGAATTTTTATCTTTTTTTCCATCTACACCAATTACTTTTAATTGTAGAACTTCTTGAAGGTGCATAGTATCAATTGAATTAGCCACTCTTTTTTTTTTCACAAATAACCTTATATTTAGTTATTACATAATCAATTTTTTTTTATAATTTTTTTTTTTTTATATAAATTTTAATTCACACACCTAAGGCCATGAAGGCCACTACAGCCAAAGAAGCTACTTTTGTCGCGGTTACAACCCTCTCACAACTCTACAACTCCAAAACACAAAGCTTGACAAAGAAGGCTGCTGTGCAGAGGAAAAAGTTGAGCGTTGTGCAGAGGAAAAAATTGAGCGTCCTCACCACCTAGGACGTGGTGATGATCGAACTTGGTACTGCTCGCTTATGAGGCAAGTGCTCTACCTCTACTTTAGTAACATCTCTAACTTTATATCCTATTGCAGCCTTAGCTATATTAGTTAAGTCTAGTAGAATTTTTTTTTAACTATTTTCTCTATTTATTTGCTCTTCAAACTCTTTACTTTTAGCTGTTTCTAAAGTTAAGGATTCAACACTGAAAATTTCATCTGAATCAACTTCTAATGTTATTTGAAAATTTCTCTGTCTAATTTGCTTTCCAGTAACAATTTTGCAACTCTTGTTGCGACT